GCTGTTGCTGTTGCTGTCGCTGTCGCTGTCGCTGTCGCTGTCGCTGTCGCTGTTGCCTAATCATAGTTGCCATCCAAACTGTATCCACAGTGAGCAAAGGTAGCATCAATGCCTTTGATAGACCTACTGGCTTCTCTATACAATGCTGCTTCAAGCGTGCTAGGTCCCCAGTCAGCACGCACCTCTCTGAATACCCGTGCTGACATCAATGAACTTCCTCCTTGGTATCCCCACCACTCTAGTAAGGGGGAAAGGAAGTGTCCAAAAGAACTCATATTGTACTAAGTTCCTAGGTGTGAAGTCATCTTAGGCTTCAATGGACTTCCTCTTCCTTGTTACATCCATTCCCCTCAGTCCCCTGGTGATATCTACTCTGGAATTGATCGCTCCTCCTTCAATATATATGAATGTTGCCAACAACTCATCAAAGCTGACAGAAGGGTTGATAGTTATACCAATAGCAAGAAGGTAGAGGTCTGGTCCAACATGTTTGCTTTGATCTCTGTCGTGCATCTTTCTATATGGATCAAGGTGTCTGCTCCACAGACGCCTCACTGGCAATAACAGGAGGAAGACCATCCTCCTGCTGCCTTTGCAGTTCCATCTCTCTGATATAGACATGATATCCTTCACTCCCTCCCCTAGAAGGATTTGGCCTACCAACTCTCCTATTGTCAGCTCTGATCTTTGCTACTAGTATCTTATCTGCTGGATTGATAGGCATGCTGATTACTGTTGCCTATGCTGGAAGATGTTGCCATATGAAAGAACAATCTGGCATGATAAACTCTGTTACACTTGCTTGTTTGCTACAGTTCAAGGCTTATTAAATCAAAAATTAAAGAGAGTGATCTACTGATACCTCTTTTCTATGGATGAAAGTGCCTAAAATAGAGCAATTCTCATGTGTGGTTGCTTTGAGCTGTGTTTTTTAATAGAATGAAAAGAAAAGAATAGTTTTGATCATTAGTATGCTGGAGGGAGTTCAGGTGGTATATAGTAGACTCCAGTAGGATTTTAAGGAGGAATCAAAACCCTTCCATTTTGACCAAAATCTGCAATGTTACCTCTTGATTGGGAATTTTCTACTGGGTTTCCTGGTACCAAATCCTACAAGAGATCCTTCTTTTGCTCCTCGATCAGCTCAGCTGATCCAGCTGGAGGAGCAGCTGCTGCTGGGCCTGTGGGGCAAGTATTGATCCTACTACATACATAGAATAATTGACAACTTAGTTGATAACTTTGTTTTGATGCTTTTAGTCTTACTATGAGTTTCATAACAATTGCACATGCTGCTGGTTTTTCAGGGGGCAAAAATTTGTATTTGAAGTTCTAAACTTTGATTGGAAGTCATGAACTTTAGCTTGTACATCATGTACCAGGTTCTACTGTGCTGTTCTTTTTAATTTGACTGAATGACTAGAATTGATTCCCCTGAAAACAACAACAATGGTTCAAGGTGATTCAATCATGAATGTCATCCAAGAACTAGCTCAGTAGAACACAGTAACCATGACATTTGAAATTCTTAGTTTTTCCAGACTATGTATCTGGGACGTTAGGAAACAACACATTACTGCATCATACTCTAAGCTACTGGAGCCACAACTAGTCTGACTAAGTCAAAAAGCAGTACATAAGCACTCATCCTTGATTACACGACATACAGTACAATAATGAACCAAATGCTACCTTAATTAAAAAAGGGGGAGCTGGGAAACTAAATTTGTTTTCATTTTTTATCTTACCCAAAAGCTACTTTAAAGTTACTGAAAAGTTACCTAAAAGTAGCTTTAAAGTAGTCTAGCTTTTAAGTATTTTCCCCATCCCCCTAAGTAGAAATCATACTAGACCCACAACTGCAACTCTGATGGGGCATAAACCAATTCAATCACACTTTCTGTTAGTCCTGAATGATGATATATGGATTATAATATACTGATACAAAGGGGGTTCAAAAGTGTACTGGAGATACGCAAGCTAACCTTTAAAATAGAAGTGCAGTATGTACAATAAATGCAGCAGCTGATCCATCTTGCTCAGATCAGTCTTTTGGGAGGACTGTAGTACAAAAGCTGTGTAGAAAGCACCTTAGAAAATAGCAAATCAAGGGTATACTGTCCAAGTTGGGCAAAATCAGTTGGTTTTTATCTTCATGTGCAAATGCCATGTTAAAATTAGCTTTTGGCCTGAAATCAGATTGGAACCAAACTGGAGACCAAAATAGTACTGATTTACGGAGCTTCCTGGTACAAAACGCTTGTAGAAATCCTGTAGAAAATTCAAAATCAAGGGTGTCCATTTTGCTCAAAATGGAAGGGTTTTTGATTCCAAGTTCAAAATGTACTGGAGATACACAAGCTGACCTTTAATCACATATCATTCAAAATAGGAGCTCCAGAGAGGACCTTGCTAAATGAGACCCCCAGAACAGCACCAGTTCCAGCAGTAGTGGGAACAGCAGTATTCCTCCTAGTGTTAATAGAGATGTGTAATGGTGTCTTCTCTCATAGGATCAATGCTATCTTGTTGAGGCTACAACCACTAAATATAATGAACATTGTAATCCAGCCCATTTGCAAAGACTGTTGTGCTTGAAAGAAACTTGAGGCTGTGTAATCACAGCAACTGCATACCATCATGATAGTCTCCCTGTTTGGCTTCATGTGCCTGAAGTGTGTAGTTACTAGTACATTGAACTGTTTCAATCTACTATTCACAGCTTCCTGCTGTGCTTGAGCATTTGATATCATCTTTCTTTTCTGACCACTGGTCCCCATTGATGGATGCTTCAGTTGGGGGTCTCCCCCATAGCCTCTGTCTGCTTCCGCAGCTTCCTCTGGATAGATTGCTGTACCCAGCCCTTCCTCAAATATAGTGTTGTCATTAACACTTGCCTTGAAAGGACCATTGACCCAAACAATGAACCCTGTCTTCAAGCAAACCGCAACTTCATACTTCACGCCTGGCCCATTGCTCTTTTGTGAATACATGTCTGGCTCAAAAGGCCATGGTTCATGAACAGGATAGTCTGTTCCATTGACACTTATGAAGCAGTTGGTCTTACTAGCTATCTATTCAGTCCATCAAATTTACTATCAAGACTGATCACATCCTCAGACAGCTCAGCAATCCTCTTCACAAAGTACCAGGACCACTTTGAAAGCCATCCTACGAGAGCATATTGAGTCTCTACTGTTGAATAGACCTTAAGATGAATAAGCGCCCAAAGCAGATGCTTTGGTTTTCCACCAGAGTCAATAGGACCATGAGCTACTATTCTGTTCCAGATATCTGCTACTATTTCACTTGGGGCTCCAAAACAAGCTCTGTACCTCATATCCTTGTCCCTGGAATTCCAAACTCTCCTTTCTGGCCACCAGAGAACATCTTGTGCAACTAGTTCAATGCCTTCCTTTGTTATCACCATGGTGGTGTTGATGGGTTGTCACGTGGAGAGGGTTGTTGTTGTAAAAAGACAAGCTACACGGAACACAC